CCCTCCCCCCATTGCCCCATTGCCATCCCATCCCCACATTGGATAACAGAGGGCCACCTCCATAGACTCCATGTAAGTGCTTTCCGTTTTTCATTTCATCTTTGTTCAATTAATTTGCCTTCACAGAGTCCATACACATTATCCTCCACCACCCTCTCATACAGTTAGGCACATTTTGTCACCCACATCCAGATTCCGTTAGACACAGTGTAACTTTGCCACGTCCTTAGACTACACCAGATCAGGTTGTAGCACTTCTAGGCGTTTGTTTGTTACGAAAAACACTTCACCCAACTTGATATCATACATTTTAAGTAAAACAGCCACAACATTGTTCTGGCCTTGCAACTGGTTGCTCAAGCACCTAATATGGCTATGTGGGAAGATGGGCATAGCTGCACTTCCCAAACACTGGAAGTTGAAATTTTCTGCAAGACTTGAGAGAAGACGAATAGTATACTTCTGCATAAAACAATTCGAAGATCTGTCACATTATGGTTTATACCACAGAGTTTGGAGTTTAGTCTATAGACCTTTGGGGAAGGAACGGCTAGCTTTGAAGCGAACATGTGAACCTGCTGTGCTAGTCTCTCTTGTGATCTTTCAGGGATAAATTCACAGTTTTTGCCCTTTGGGGGATCATTTAGGGCTCATTTTAAAGCAATTACACTGTGTAATAATATGTAAAAACTTTAGCCTGGGATCCCACTATTGTGTTGCGGAATTGCATGGGATACCGCACTAAGTACACATTAGGTGCAGTTTAGATCCCACTGAATGGACTGCCTTAACAGTATGCGCGTTAAAGTGTGTACCAGCCTTATTGTCCATAGTCTGGGCACAGATGCACTTTAAGGCCCCGTTCCCACTGCGCGATATGCAAATCGCGCGTTTGTTGCGCGATTTGCATATTGCGCGACATCGCGAGATTTGCCGCGCGATGTCGCGTTCAAGCTTGCATTGAGCAAACTTGAATCGCGGCTAAATCCGCTCCAAAAAGGGTCCTGCTGTAGCGACACACGACCCGCGACAGCAGGACCCTTTGCCCCATTGGATTGCATTGGAGCGCGATATCGTGCGGTATTTTGCCGCGATATCGCAGGAATTACCGCGCGATAAATCGCTCAATGTGAACGGGGTCTAAGTGGTGTGTGGGAGTGTCAGAAATGTTTTAGCCAACAATAACACACATGTCCCAATAAAACTGGTAAAACATGCTTTGCAATTTTAAATCCATACTCAATTGGCAGAAATCCACTATGGTTAGCATATCTACACATTCCAAAGTTGAAGACCCTGAACAAGCAAAAACATTTATGCACATTTTTATAATCTCATTTATTGTGTCGCCTGGCCATGTTTTTATACATCATAAGCGTTTACTGCACGTCTGTAAATATTCATTGAATTCTCGCAATTTCAGCTTTGTGCTACAGCTGAAAAAATTAATATCTATGTAATGTTAAACACATATACGGATGCCCATTCTGAAAATTGGTAATAATGTAAATTATGAGAAATCTTATTACTCAATGCAATTAGCTATACACCCTAGTGCTAGGTAACCCAATTCATTCAATCTGAAAAGGGGTTTACAGAACGTGTAGACATCCAGTTATGTTTTGTAAATAATGCAGGCCTGGAACAGCTTGGCCTTTGTAGTTTAGTGCTCACCTTGAGAGGATAGTTCAGGATCTTCATCATCCAGTGTAAGATCAATAACGCCAGCTGCAGATTTACCACTCTAAAATGGAAATTACAATGGGCTTTAAAATGTTATAAGCATTTTTAGGCTACTTTTAGACCTACAAGAGCCATGTTTATAGAAGCATTAACATTTTTAAAATATTATTTTTAGTTAAAAGCAAAGTCCACCTTTAACAAAAGAAAATTAAATGCACACATTCATAGAAGAAAAAAAATGTGCCTTCAGGTCCCTGTATAAATGAACACGTGCGGCCCACTTCAATTTCTCCATTAACAGATCCTGTCGAATGATTTGTGAATGGATTAGGCGCCTGTGTATTAGGATAGGAGCCTGCAGGCAGAACACCCCCACGATTCAGCTGAGGGGAGGCTGGATGTAGTTGGGGGTCTGGTGATGTGACTATGGTTCATGTTACAGCCTGACTATAGGTGTAACATGAAACATAGTAATACAAGTATATTTGGCCTTTACGTTCTTACCATTTGCATTTTTTGGTGCATTTAAAAAAAAAATCCTGTTAACTCTAATTTAGGTGCTGTATGTATATTTTCTAAAGGTACTATACAAAACCGAGTATGAAATTTACTACATGCACTTAAAATGCAACATACAGGAAGAATAACACTTTTCCGCTCCAACAAATGGTCAGTGTTAAAATGGTAACAGTTTTGCTGCAACTTCTATTTTTTACTTCCAGTGTCAACAGAACTGCATTACCAAGTCTGCAAGTGCATGTGTTCAGTCTAAGCGTATCTGCTAAATGTAGATACCAGATACATCACACAAAAAATAAGCACTCATTTAGAAATACAGATTATAAAGCATCTAAACCCAAGAACAAAAATATATTACATATTGAAGGTCAAAAATCCCCCGAATCGGTGGAAGATATACATGTATACTAGGGATGCACCGAAATATTGGCCACCAAAACATTTAGTCCGAAAATAGTGTGCATCCCTAGTTTCTCTCCTCCCCACTGGCCGCTGCTCTGTGTCCCCTCTGACACAAAGCAGCGTCCATCAGGGAGGAGAGAAACGGTCAGGAGGCAAAGCAGGGTGGGTGAGGAGACAGCTGTCACAGGAGGTCGAGCCGGGGGTCAGCTGTCAGTGGTGTCCGAAGAGGCTGAGCTTTCTCCCCGCACCACCCACCTAGCCTCCTGCTAAAGATGGAGTCAGGATGGAGAACAGTTACAAGCACTTAAAGATCAGCTGATCGCTGAGAGCTTGTAAATAATTGAGGACATAGTATGTTTACTGTGTCTCCAACTATGAATGAACAGGAAGTGCTCTACATCACTTCCTGTTCATTCATGATTGTGGACATAGTAACTCATACTATATTCACAATTTATGAATAAACAGGAAGTCTTCCTGTTCATAACAGGGGCTGCAGAAAAAGAAATTGAGGACTCTGTATCCTCAATCTCTCTTTCTATTTCAAAAAGGGAAATATCAGGGGTCTATTTAGACCCCTGATGTTTCCCCAGAGCCCCCAGGAGTAAACTAAAAACATAAATAAATACATAATAAAATAATTTTAAAAAGGTTAGAAGAAAAAAAAATTTTGGTTTCGGCCTAATTTTTTTAATTTTGGTTTCGGTTTGAAAATTCCATTTCGATGCACCTGTAATAAATACAGTCCAATGAGAGCACCAAATAAGATAGAATAAGAGTCCAAAAACATTTAATAATGGAATGGGTTCGTAAACAGCAGAAAAGAACATTGAACACAAGTTTTGCTGATTCAATGATGTTGGCTATACCCTACACAGCAAGTAATTAATCCCTGTTGATTTGTGCCAGTTTTTGAATCCATAATGCTACCAATCATGTCTAATCCCTGAAACATGTTGGCTGTTCTTTACTGCTGTTGATTAACCTATTCTATTATTAAACGTTTTAGGACTCTCATTCTGTATTGTCTGGCACCCTCTCTGGTCTTTATATATGCGTATATATTCAACCTTGGGTTCCCTTGTATGTGAAATATCCTGTTTTTCTTAAAAACAGCCTCACCGGAGCCATTGTGCATTTATCAAGTTCCGGTCTTCTGAATATGTCCCCAGCGCATCACCTGTACTTTTTCCAGATCTTGCAGTGGTGGCTGCCATAGCTTTTTTTTTTTTTAAAGCCTGTCCAGCTTGTTGCTGAACCTGGACTCCAGCAGAACCACATCTGGCATCCACCACCTATGAGACTCAATCCTGCGAGGGCTCAAAACATGACTAAGGTTGTCTACCAATTTTCCATGCCTAGAATATGTAAAGTGAAATGTGAAGTTCGGCCAAAGCCAGAATCGGGTTAGTTTCCCTTTGAGGTACACGACTTTCAGTGCTTTCTTGAAGGCTGATGTAAGCCATGGCATTGTTCGACTGAATCCTGGCCTTAGGAGTAAACTTGTTTATCCACACAGCTAGGAGGTTGAGCTGCAATGGCATGGAATGATACAGAGGATAGGGAGCTGCCTCAAAGAAGAACACCATCAGGCCCAGAACATTCATAAAAAAGCGAATGGACAAACTTTCCTGTAGCGTGAGAGCAGAGACAGCAACTTCTCCTATGGCAGGAGGACTCTGGACAGGGTCATGTCAAAGACCAGGCCTAGCTATTCCAAATGATGGGCAGGCTCCAGCACCAATTTTGAGAGGTTCAGGATCCATCCAAAGATCTGTAGTCTGCATCATCTACAAAATAAGTCACAGATTGTCCAAGTACCCCACTACAGGGATTTCCTGGGAGCACAGTGTGATTAGAACAAGGGCCAGCACCTTGGTGTACACCCTGAGTGCTGTAGACAGACTGAAGGGACAAGCAACAGATTGTAAATGCTGGGTGCCCAAAGCAAAAACACAGGTTTGTGGTGGTGAGCATGGAAAATGAGAATGTGTAAAAACTCACCCTTAATATCCACTGAGGGCAGGAAGTCTCGCGGGTGAAAGAAGGCAATGAGAGCGGGTGGATTCCATCTGAACCCTCAGAAGCCGATTGAAGATCTTAAAAGTCAAAGTTGCGGTAAATCTATCCCCTTGGCTCTGGGAATAGTTCAGGCTGTGTGACCCCTGCCCCCACCTCCTCTCCAGTGACTCAGGCTTGAATAAGAGCTATTTGCTGCAGTGAAGCTTCTCCCTTGGCAGGGCATCTAGCTTTGGGGCCCAGGTACGGTCCACCAGGGCTTAGCTCAGGAGAAAACCAATGTAGATAGTTGGCAAGAAATGCCGCAGTGGCTGAGAGCAGCTCATGGAAGCTTGGGAGAATAGTCTTGAAGTGGAAAAGTGCAGCAAAGGATGTGCTTCCTTTAGAGCAGAGAGGGTGAGTGCAGAAAGGTGTCCATCAATAAGACAGTAGCAAAAAAATAAATAAAAAAACAAAAACTGCAGCAGGGAGAGGGGTTATACGGGGACAGTCTTTACAGTTTCAGTTTGACAGCATCCAATCACTTGAACGTAGCTACATAATCCAATGGTTCCAGAATTAACTTCCTTTGTCCTGTGATGTCTAATTTTTTTCTTAAAAATAATTTTATGTCAAAAAGAGCAACCACTTATTCATGACCATCCATTAACCATCTAACCGTATTCTAATTAAAGGATACTAAAACCTCAACAACACGGGAATTAGTTAGGATTCACAGATCTCTTATTACATTTTTCTGTAAGCATTTAAAATACCTGTGCACTGCTCTCAGGTGTACGCTTGTTTACTGCTGGTTCTGCTGCAGGAGCTCGTCCAACCTGTAAATCTGAAAATGAAAACATGCAAGACTGAGATCTTTTTACAAAATAATTAAAATAAATAATTTATAACATTATACAAATGTTCTTACTATGCACAAAAATAAAGTGTATGGTTAACCACAAGAACAAAGTTTTCGTATTTTCTCCCTTTTGGTTTGGTTGATAAACCATTGAAAATGTTTTGTTTTATCTGTTTGTCAAGAGCAAAATATACCAGTTCCTACCAGAAATGCAGTGCACTCTGCCATGTTATTACAAGCAGTTTATCTTCCTGGTCAGGTTACCTCTAAACTACAGAACACCCCCCAAAGCTTTGGAGAGAAGAGAAGGTAGGGTTCTGTAGTCCAACATGCTTCCTGTCCTAGGGTGACAACATTGTTCCTGCACAGATATAGTACAGCGACTGTTATAGATTTCATGTTAATTGTATAAGTCAAGGAGTTATTAGTAAGGTAAATGTAATTTTGTATTTCTATCGAAGTTTTGGATTCAAATTTACTTTAAACTACGCATCTATACCCTCATTTCAATGACGGAATAATTAAAATTGAACATTTTCTTTTCTACAGTGTTCTACTGTAAAGAGATTGTACTTAGTTTCCTGTCGAGGTGATTAAGGGACAAGTGGCATAAATGTTTAATAATAACCTTTATGTTATTAAATACAAGTTGACATATATACACATTACATCTATATCTATATATATAATTTGGCCCAACCAATTAACATCAGAAGTTTCCCTATTGATTTGAAAAAGTTCCACCCATGTGTAAATGTCACATGATTGGTCACATCAGTATAACCACACCTATTCTCAAAGGCCTGCAAGTCTGTAACACTACTGAGCAAGCAAAATGAAGACCAATGAGCTCTCCAAACAGGTCAGAGAAGGTTTTGAGAAGTTTACTTTGGGATATTTTTTTATTTTTTATAAACCAACCCAAAGAGCACAGGGCACCATTAAATCCATCATACCAAAAAGGAACTATGGCACCACTACAAACCGCCCACCAAAACTTACAGACCAAGCAAGCAGAGCATTTATCAAAGATGCAACAAAGTCCCCCAAATATAACACTGAAGGAGCTAAAAAGATCCACAGCAGATTCAGGGGTCCACGGGACCGCTTTCACCTGTACACTGCACAGAGTGTGGGCTTTATGGAGTAGTGGCAAGAAAAATAAAAAAAAACCAAAACCCATATTTGGTGTTTGCCACAAATAGCATGTGCCGGACTCCCAAAATCAAATGGAAGAAGGTTCACAGGTTAGATGAGACTAAAACTGAGTGTCTTGGCCATCATGCGAAGTTTTGGGTTTACCCCACAAATAAAATTTCCTAAATCACACTGATCACCATCCCCGGAGTGAAGCACTGCGGTGGCTGCATCATGCTGTTGGGATGTTGGGATTGGAAATATGGTGCGTGTTAAAGGAGGGGGGAGAAGGTGGCACTAAATACAGGGCAAATCATGAAGAGAACACATTTCAGTCTGCCACAGACTTGCATTGGAGTGGAGTGAACTCTTTCCCTGTATCGGCAGATTCATGACTGGGGACTTAGTAAGTGATCACTATCTGCTCAGTTTATGAATGAACAGGAAACAGCGCAGTACAGAGGCTTCCTGTCCATTCATGACTGGGCTGACAGTAAATATTTACTACATTGTGAATGAACAGGAAGCCTCTGTACTGAGTTCTTCCTGTCCATTGAGTGCTGGGGCTGCAGATAAAGAGATTGAGGATTCAATCTCTTTCTATTTCAAAATGGAAATATCAGAGGTCCGTTTAGAGTCCAAATATTTTCCCGAAGCCACTGACCATAAAATAAAAAAATAAAGTTCAGAAAAATAACCCCACCCATACGCCATATTGTGGTGTACGTCAAGCACATGTGCTGCAGTGCGTTGATAGAACACATCGTAGTGCTTGATATTTGCAATTTTAAATTTGCAAATACTTAAAATGTATCAACTAAAGGTGGCCATACACTGTACAACCACGACAGTGATTAAAAAAACTTACGATCTGCCCATCTTGGACAGGCAGATCGCACTCTCGATCATCGCAAGCCCGTCCCCCTGAGGGACGGGCTTCCGATGACCGCAATGCTGAACGGGCAGTGTGCGCGTGCGCACACCGGCCCGTTCGGCATTTGTCTACCGAGCACCGTTCAAACCAGCCGAAAATCGTACGATTCTCGGCTGGTTTTCTAACATGCTCCTTAGACAAAAGACGTGCGACCGTACAGTAGAAACGGTCGCACGTCTTCGTTCACACTGTTTCTCGTACGAGAATCGAGCAGTGTATGGGCACCTTTAGATTTAGTAGGAATCTTGTAAATCATGTGTGGTTTTTTTGTGTGGGCGGGTATAATGATTTTAGAGTATTTTTAGCTGAAATATTTATTTGATAAACATTTGCGCAACTGTCGCAAGACCTACAAAATTAGTAGTACCATCTTTTTATTTTACTAGTCCTGTGCTTTCATAAAATTAATGGTTTACAAAGAAAAAGACATTTGAAAAAAATGGTCTGGCCACTTCAGGTTAAAAGTGTTAAAGGGTTTCTAAACCCTCAGTTTTTTTGCATATATCTACTGCTAGCAAGCAGTAGATATATGCAAAAAGTTTTTTAATAAAGCAAAACGCTTTAACAGCGGTTTAAACTTATCCCGTCTTTGAGAACCCGAAACTGCTTGGGTGGCCACAAAGCATCTTGGGGCGGGGGCATGCGCAGTTCGGATTTTCGGCCGAGAGACGAGGAGAGATGCAAGGTAAGTCTATGGACACGTGCACCCGCATGCAGACACCACGGGATCGGAAGTGCCAGCAAGGACCCTTCCTTCCTGGATGTAACAGGTCGTGTATACATGGCCTATTAGTCCCGCCCACTTGTGCGCAGCGCGTGCTGGATAAGCAAAATTTAAAAACCGGCAGCGATGCCTGTTAACATACAAGCGATCCACTGGCGGATCGCTTGTATGAGGTCCCGTTATGTGCGCCCCCCCTCCCACTGGTCCCGGGCTCTGCTGTGCCCAGTGCGAGCCCGGGACCAGCATAGTGGAGGTCAGTTCACAATCTCCCTCCGGTCCCCTCTCCGGTGGCAGAATGCAGATGTGACGTATATTACTTCATTCTCGTGTCACTCTCCAGCTTCAGACGCTGGAGAGAAGCTGATGAAGCAGATCTCTGCTTCATCAGCTTCTTCAGGGTGGTCATAGGTGACATTAGGGGTCTTGGAGACCCCTGATGTCTCCATAAAGAGGACCTGTCACATCTTTTGCTATCACATAGGGGGGTTTCTTAGCCCCCTCTGTGATAGCAATAAAGTGAGAAAAAAAAATAGAAAAAAAAATTAGTTTCCCCAAAATGTTTAAGTTACAAATAAAAAAAAATGTTTTTTTAAAGTCCCCAACCCTACATACACGCATGTAAACATGCGTCAGGTGTGCATACCTGCAAAAACGATTGCGCCCATTACGCCGCACAAGTTACATATCGCCGCAAACGTTGCAGTGAGAGCAATAATTCTAGGCCTATCAATCACTGATACCACGAAACTGATGAGCTGTAAAAGCTTTTAAAGTGTCGCCTATGGTCAATTTTGGGTTTGCTAGTTTTTTGCGATTACGCACAATTTTTAAGCTTGACATGTTTGTGTCTATTTACCTGACGTGACCCCGTCTTTTATATTTTTAAGAAAAAAATTGGGGTAATAATAAATGTTTCCTAACAATGTTAAAAAAAACTTTATTTTTTCAAAATTTTCAGTAATTTTTCCTGAATATAGTAAAAACTAAAACCCCCAGTGGTGATTAAATACCACCAAAATAAAGCTCTATCTGTCCCCAAAAAATGGTATAAAATTCAAATCAGTACAGCGTTGCATGACGGAATAAATGTCAGTCAAAGTACCGCAGCGCTGAACACTGAAAAATGGCCTGGCCAGGAAGGGGGTCTAAACTCCTGGTCAGCAAGTGGTTAATGTCACTTTATGTAGGGATTGGCAGCGAAATCGTGAAAGGGACACATTTAAATGTCTTCAAATGGTTTAGTCAAAGCCCACACCTCAATCTAATTGTGAATCTGTGGCATGACTGCTGTACGCAACTCCAACTTGGAGCAGGAGCAGTTTTGCTTTGAAGAAAGGGCACAAATCCCAGTGGCTAGATATGCAAAGCTAATAGAGACATACTCCAAGAGAGTTGCAGCTATTATTGCAGCAAATGGTAGCTCTGTATTGACTTTAAGTGAATACTTATGCACACTTAAAGCGGAAATTCAGTATTTTGAAAAGTTAACCCTTGCACTGCTCATTTTGTCTAGGGAGCAAAGAAATGGTCACCCAAATCTCATACCTGCCTGGCTACTAGACCAGTCCCCACAGCCTCTTCTCCCCCAGGCTCCGGCAAGCTAAGGACCCATGATGTCATCACATCTAATACAGGTCCATTAGATGTGAAGATGCCAAGGGACATACCACAGCTGAAGCAGAGTGGGAGAGAGGTGAGCCGTCATTGCTGCAGGACCGAGGATTGGGTGAGTATTTCTTCTATATTTTTCGCTCCTAGAGAAAAATCGAGCACTTAATCAAGCAGTTAACCATTGTAGTGTTTGCGTAGCCCCGCAAATATTCCTGGAGTTCTGCGAGATTTCAATATATTTTTGGTCCTAATTATGGCTTGTGTCACAATACAATATGATTTTTGACTTGGCAGTAAAAAAAAAAAACACATTTCTTTGAGCACAGTACAGGACACAGACAAAGTCAAAGACAACTGGGTAATATGCAAGTATCATCGGATAATTGGACACTGGCCAGAGCTGTGAGGACTCTTGTACAGCCCCTCCCAATCCAGGAAATCCTCAAGTTTTTTAGCAAGCAATACTACTTATAGTACATAAAGGGTCCTGTACTCCAAGAAATTGATTCTTATTGCCAAGTCAAAAAAGCCATTTTCTCGAACAAACAGTAGAGGACCTAAGCAACTTCAGAGATGGCC